GAACTGGCTCGATGGCACTTCACAACAACAACAGTTAATGCTGGAGTCCTGGTGTAGCTCTGTGGGATAAAGCACTGGGCCTCAAGGTCAGTTTGAATCACAAGATCGGCGGTTCACATTAACCAGCTGCTCCTTGGAAACCCTGTAAAGGACTGCTATGAGTCGAAACTGACTCGATGGTAATTAACAACGACAACATTAATGCTGGGTGAGATATCTCATTGTTGTTTAGATTTGCATCCTTCTAATGGACTCGACGGCACTTAACAACAACAACAATGACAATGGAGTCCTGGCTCTGGTAGCGTAGTGGTTACGAATCTGGCTGCGAACCTTGAGGTCAGCAGTTCGAAACTACCAGCTGTTCCGCAGAAGAAAGATGAGGCTTTCTGCTCCTGTAAAAATTTATAGCCTCGGAAACCCTGTACAGGGTCACTATGAGTCGGTTTCGACTCTACGGCACATGATCACCACCACCAATGGAGTCCTGGTATGGCGCTATGGGTTAATGCGCCAGACTGCAAAGCCGGTTGAACTGCAAGGTCAGTGGTTCAAGCTCATCAGCTGCTCCTTGGAAACCCGATACAGGGATGCTATGGGTTGGAATCAACCCGACGGCACTTAATAACAACAACAATGGCTAATTAAGGAGCTCTGGTAGCATAGTGGATTACAAGCTGAGCTGCTAACCATAATGTCAGCAGTTCGACTCTACCAGCTGCTCTGCAGGAGAAAGATGAGGCTTTCTGCTCCCATAAAGATTTACAGCCTCGGAAACCCTGCACAGGGTCACTATGAGTCGGAAGTGACTCCACCACACATAACCACCACCACCACCATTCGCTAGTGATCATAAGTATTTCTTCACGTGTTTCTTTAATAAAACGGCATTTTGGCTATTTGAATAACATTGTGATTCTATCACCTCTCCAGAGAGATCAGCCAAAAAAACTTAATTGGTAAAACTTTTCCAAGATTCTGTTTCCTAATCATTAAGACAATGTATTGCTGTTGATCCACTATGAACCTAAAACTAGTAAGAAACTGTCAAAAGTGGGATCTTGATTTGCCTAAACAATATTCTCCAAGTATGATTTACAGATATCAGTTTTCATGAGCCAAATTCTCTAAATGCCTAACTTACTTCTTCAAAGTAAATTTTAAGAACTTCTTAATTTTTAAGTAGCTGGTCCATTTTTTAAAAAAGCATCCAAATTGGAAACTGGGGAAAGCATTTAAAACACAATCAAATCAAAATTTAAATGAAAAAAAAAAACTGGTGTGGCGCTGTAGGATAAGCACTGGGCCACGAGGTCAGTTTGAACATCAAGGTCAGTGGCTCAAACCTACCAGCCGCTCCATGGATACCCTACATAGGATCACTATGAATCAGAACATCAACAAATCCAAGTTTGCTTATACTTCACCAACAAATACAACATGCTTCCTATAGACATTTAATGTTTAGTTTAAACCTTAATGTTGAACAACTAAAACTTGACCTATTTTTTTGTAATTCTCTTTTGAGCCAAGGAAGCAACAACCCAACATAGTGGCAAACATTATACAAAATAGCTTTAAATAATCATTTATTTTTATCAGGATAATTCCCAGCTGGCTGGTTGTGTCCCACCGAGTTTCCTTGTATAAGGTTTCCAAGGCTATACAATAAACCTTTACGGGAGCATAAGGCTCCTCCTTCTCCTACGGAGGGACTGATAGATTCTAACTACTGACCTTGAAGTTAGCAGCACAGTTTGTAATCCACTATGCTACCAGAGCTGGAATGAAATTATTCTCCCTGCTAATAAAGAAAGTGGTCAGGGAACAATGTAAGGTTTACATTAACTTTCCCTAAAGTAATTTGATCTTTGTCCCAGTTTCCTGAGAAATAATTCTAAAACCTTATAATTTCCTGATTAATTGAGATGCCTCTGTTATGTACAGTCAAATGTGCATGAGCCGGAACCTGTGTAAAACAGAAGCGTGTCAAAGTAGGAAAACAATTATTTTCCACTAAAAGAAAGCATTAGAAAAGTGATAAGACCGCACCTAGTCAAAGGGGGAAACTTGAGAGACCAAGAGAAACAAAGCAGTCCTGTGGAGTCCTGGGTCTCCCAGGTTTCAGACCACAAACTGAGAGTTTATGCTAATGAGGTGACTCAGGTAGGGCCTAGTCAGGCCAGAACCACCGCCTTGTGGTATGAGCTGATCTCAGGGGAAGTAGGCTGATTCAATCATTCCTGACTACCAGAGATCCTGGACCCAACAGCTCTTTAGGCTTCCTGGTTAATGGTTTGTTGTTGTTTAGTGCGGTTGAGTTGGTTCCAACTCATAGTGACCCTGTCTAGTAAAAGCTATAAATGCAAGTGGGAAGGAACGGCATTCCTTTTTTAGGACATGGAAGCTCTGTGTTGGGACCCCTCCTAGACCTACCCTATGTTTCTCTTCATTTGTATTCTTTTTCCTATAATAAAACTGTAATTGTAAGTATAAGTGCTCTCTGTGAGTTCTACAAGTCATTCTAGCAAAAAAACCTGTGGGAGAAGTGGGAACCAGCAGATCAAAAGTGAACAAGATTGGGTACCCTGAGATTATAGCTGGTACCTGAGGGGTAGAGGGAACGTCTGAATTTGTAGCTAACAAGTCAGAAGAGAGGGTGCAGTGGGGGCTGCTATGTTTGTGGCTGGTGCTTGAGGTCTTGGGAAGATTGGGCAATCCGGAGGGCTGTACCCAGTAACTAGTGACCCAGCTTGGAGTGGTTAGGGTCTGAGTGGTTGGTGTCCGAAAAGACTGGAGCAGAAGTGAATTTATATGATTTAGTGGGATTTGTTGGATTTTTCACAAAGAAATAGCTGGATTTTCAGAGACCCTCAGCATTGTTCTAATGATCTCCAGGTGGTTGTGATGGTGTGCCACTGAGTCAGTTCTGACTCACAGAGATCCTGAGAAGGGTTTCCGAGGCTGTAAATCTTTATGGGAGCAGAAAGCCTCATCTTTCTCCCTTGGAGCTGCTAGTAGATTCAAACTGCTGTGGTTAGTAGCCCAACATGTAACCCACTACACTACCGGTTCTTTAATTATCACCAGACACCCTTGTATTTGCCAGAAAAATTTCTAAAACTATTTAAGACCCACAGTAATTTTACACAGATGTTCCTACTACACATTAAAACAGCAAATTTACTAATATGCAGTAGGAAAGCTCACTAAATGAAAAGACCACAGTTATGTTCTTCATTTGCCAAACATCAATCGTGGAGCCCTTGTGACATAATGGTTACGTGATTGGCTGCTAATCCACCAATCACTCTGTGGGAGCAAAAAAACGTAGCAATCTTCTCCACAATGATTATAGCCCAGGAAACCCTATGGGACAGTTCTACTCTGTACTATACGGTTCACTATGAGTCAGAATCGATCACACAATAACCACAATAAATGCCAGTCAATATTATGAACATTTATATATTGAAGGAAATTTGTAAAATTAATCTGTATATTAAAAAATGAATAACATTTATTAACAGTTCTCCTCTTAAGTTATTTAAAGGAAGGAACGACTTAAGGAGTTTTGTTTTGTTTTTACCTTTTTCGTTATGTTCAGAGGTAAGGACATTATCCACTGTGACATTTACTGTTTCCTATGAAAAGAAATACACACTAAAGTAATTCCATTTCATAAGTCTAGCAAGAACAGAGCGTCAACAGAAATCCAAACTTTCCCTGGGACTGTATAAGACAATAAAGTGGATTCTAATTTAGAAGAACGCTAGCAGAAAGCAACATTCTTTCACTTCATTCAACAACATTCATTGCGTGTCCTTCAAAGGCCTCCATACCATCTGTAAAAATGAAAGTATCAATACCATGGTGTGTCATAATCAATTTTAAATGGCATCTAATGCTTTGTCCTGGTGTGGCGCTGTGGGTTAATGCGCCAGACTGCAAAGCCCTTAGAACTACAAAGTCAGCGGTTCAAGCTCACCAGCTGCTCCTTGAAAACCCTATGCAGGGTCGCTATGGGTCGGAGCCAACTCAACGGCACTTAACAACAACAACAACAATGCTATGTAAGTGATCACTGCTAATTTTCTTTAATGAAAATGAATAACAACATACAAACACTAAATAGAATAGCAAATTTAAAATCTGCGTTAAAACAAATGTTTAACTCACAGTGCCCTTAGGAGATCTATCTTAACTCTACAATCGCCAAAGGAGAAAGTGCTAAACTCTGCAAACATTTATGAATCTCTAATTCCCTCATTCCTTGCCTAAAGAAAGATCAAGACAGTCATGGTTTTTTCCTGATTTTAAAAAAGGGTTCTGAAAACACAGCATTTACAAAAAATTTTGTCAGATAATTTCATTCTTTATGCTCAACTATGCTCATATATGGAGTCCTGGTGTGGTGCTGCAGGTTAATACACTGGACTGAATGCAATGTTGGTCTGAACCACAAGTTTGTCGGCGGTTCAAGCTCACTAGCTGCTCCTCGGAAACCATACACAGGGTTGCTATGAGTTCAAACTGACTCAGCGGCACTTAACAACAACAACGTACTCATAAATACACTGGAGTTTTGGAGTTACTATCTATGCACACAAGGAGCTCTGGTAACATAATGTTTACCAGTTGGGTTGTTAACCTCAAGGTCATCACTTCAAAACTAGCAGTCATTCTATGGGAGAAAGATGAGGTTTTCTGTAACCTTAAAGATTTACAGCCTCAGAGACCCTATACAGGGGCACTGTAAGTTAGAACTGACTCCACAGCACATAACTACCACAACCATCTACACACACACGCTACCTTCCATGGCATATTTGGGAGTACAGCCTCTTGGGGAATCTGCTCAGCAGGATTCAAGGCCACTCCTGAAAGAGAAATAAAAATATTTTTGCATCATATTCATAAAGGGTTAGATTTTTTAAAAAATTTTCTGAGACTGTTTATTATCACTTTGATAGTAATGTACATTTCTAAAGTTCAGTTTTGCTCCTGTAGAATGCTTATAAAATTACACATGTGAAATAGCTTTATTTAATTAAATATTTAAGAAATACACTTTTGTTCATTTGAATTATGATTACCTTTTTAAAATTATTATTGGACATCATACAGATATAAAAAATAATAAGTAGAAACTTGAAAGGACAAAAGCAACATTGTTATTGGCTTTTTGCATGTATCTTTTAGACTGTAGAGTTTGGGGATTATATTATTTATTTTTTTATCCTATTTTGTACCATAAATTATTAGAGGTGGTTTCATGTATATATGTGTATATATATGTGTGTGTGTGTGTGTGTGTGTGTCATTAATCACATGTAACCATTACTAATCCCCAAACACAAACCTACTGCCATTGAGTCCGTTGGAACTCATAGAAAACTTGCAGGGCGGAGGAGAACTACTCTGTCGGGATTCTAAGGCTGTAAATCCATACAGAAGCAGACTGCCACATCTAATGGCCACAAAGCTACATGGGTTCAAATCACTGACCTATCAGTTAGGGCAAGTGCTTAACCACTGCACCACTAGCATTTCACAGAATCCCCAAAGTGGAAAACTCACAAGTGTGCAGAAATTAAACTATAAACTCAATAAGTCAAAGAAGAAAATTCAAGAGAAATTATCAAATACTTTGAGATGAATGAAAACAAAAGTTCAACATACCAAAACTTAGAGAATGTAGTAAAGCGGTACTTAGAGGAAAATTTATAGCTGCTAACATCTACATTCAAAAAGAAGAAATATCTCATATTTCTCAAATATCTCATATTTCTGCCACCATAAAGAACTAGAAAAAAAAAGAGCAAACAACTCTAGCAAACAGAAAAATGAAATAATTAAAATTTCATTGAAAATAAAAGTGAGAAAAGCCAAAGAGAATATCAGTAAAATCAAAATTATTTCTTTGAAAAGATCAATAAAATTGATAAACCCTTAGTTAGGTTGACCAAGAAGAAAGGGAGGGAACTCAAATAATAAATTCAAGTAAAAAAAGGAGACATCACTACCAACTTGAATGAAATAAAAGATTTGCAAGGGAATACTATAAATAACTGTACATCAAAATTGAAATAATTTAAGTGATATGGACAGATTTCTAGGAAAACACAAACTAAAGAAACTGACTCAAGAAGAAATAAAAACCTGACTAGACCTATAAAAAAGAGATTAAATTAGTAATTTTAAAACTTTCTAGAAAAAAAGTCCATGCACAGGTGAATTCTACAAAATAGTTTTTAAAAGATTTAACAGCATTCCTTCATAAACTTGTCCAAAATAGAAGAGAAGGGAATAACTCCCAACTCATTCTATGAGGTCAGTGTTACTCTGATACCCTAATACCAAAACTAGACAAAGACATCACAAACAATGAAAACCACAGAGCAATATCCCTTATGAACAAGATACAAAACTCTTCAACAAACTACTAGCAAGCTAAATCAAGAAGCTTATATGAAGGATTAGATATCTTGAAAGAGTGGGATTTATTCCAGGAATTCAAGATTTGCTTAATATCTGAAAAATCAATCAATGTAATACATCATTTATTGGTTAGAAAACCAAAAGAGAAAAACATGCTTAGCATTTCTCATGCTAAAAGAACTAAAGAATAAATTCAAGCCTCAGATTACAATACCGAAGGATTCTTTGGGCAAAATATGGAATAATGCAGGAAGCATCAAAAGAAGATGGAAGGAATACACAGTCACTGTATCAAAAATAATTAGTTGATGTTGAACCATTTCAAGAGATAGCATATGATGCCACCACTCGTCTGTCAGTTTGTCTTACTGAGGTGGCTTGTATGTTGCTGCGATGCTGGAAGTATTTTAAATACCAGCAGGATCACCCATGGTGGACAGGTTTCAGTGGAGCTTCCAGACTAAGACAGACTAGGAAGAAGGAGAGGCAGGCTACATCTGAGTGTTTAGCCACTGAAAACTTCATAAATAGCAGCCGAACATTGCCATATATACTACCAGAAGATTAGACCCCCAGGTTGGAAGGCACTCAAAATACGACTGGGAAAGAGTTGCCTTCACAAAGCAAAGTTGACCATAATGACATGAATGGAGCAAAGCTTTCAGGACCTTCATTTGCTGATGGGACAAAACTCAAAATGAAGAAAAATCTGTACAAACATTAGTAGTCAGAACATGGAATGTATGAAGTATGATGTTAGGAAAACTGGAAGTTGTCAAATATGAAATTAAATGCATAAATATAGATATCCTAGGCTTTTGTGAGCTTAAATGTACTATTATTAGCCATTTTGAATCAGATAATCATATAGTTTACTATGCCAGGAACATCAAATTGAAGTTTAATGGTATTTGTGTGATAGGATAATATTCATATGCCTACAAAGAAGTTCTACCAACTTCTTCTGTTTTAAATAGATTAAACCTATAATCAAGATGCACTGGTAATTACTGGTGATTGAAATGTGAAAGTTGGAAACAAAGAAGAAGGATCAATAGGGGAAAATTTTGGCCTTGGTGGTAGAAATGATGTTGGAGATTCATGATAGATTTTTGCAAGACCAATGACTTTTTTAAAATAACATAAAAGACTCTGAAACTTGATCTCCAGTTTAGAGATGCTAAAGCAAATGGAAGAAATTAGGTGGTAAAAGAACTGAACAGAAAAATTCAAAGGACAACTCAAGAAGGCAAAGTATTAAAATGAAATGTGCAAAGGCCTAGAGTTAGAAAACCGAAAGGGAAGAACATGCTCAGCATTTCTCAAGCTGGAAGAATTGAAGAAAAACTTCACGCTTCCACTTGAAATATTAAAGGATTCCATGGGCAAAATGTCGAATGATGCAGAAAGCATTAAAATAAGATAGAAGGAATACACAGTCACTTACCAAGAAGAAATGGTCGACGGTCAACTTTTTCAAGAGGTAATATGTGATCAAGAACAGATGGTACCGAAGGAAGAAATTCATCCTGCCTTGAAGACATTGACAAAGCCCTATGGATTGGAGGAATGCTAATTGAAATCTCTCAACAAACTCACGCAGCACTGGGAGCGTTCACTCACCTATGCCAAGAAATTTGGAAGACAGCTACTTGGACAACTGATTGGAAAAGATCCGTATTTTTACCCGTTCCAAAGAGAGGTGGCTCAATAGAACGTGGAAATCATAAATAATAACAATAATAAAACATTAATATCACCTGCAAGTAAAATTTTGATGAAGATAATTTTTAAATGGTAACAACAGTACATCAACAAGGAACTGTCAGATGTTCAAGCTGGATTCAGATGAGAACCTGGAATAACGGATATCATTGCTGACATCAGATGGATCTTGGCTAAAAGCAGAGAATACCAGAAAGTTGTTTACCTGTATTTTATTGACTATGCAAAATTTTTGACTGTGTAGATGATTGCAAACTATGGATAACATTGTGAAAAATGGATATTCTAAGACACTTAAATCTGCTCATGAGAAACCTGTACATAGACCAAGAGAGAGTTGTTCAAACAGAACAAGGGGATACTGAATTGTTTAAAATCAGAAAAGGTATGCACCAGGACTGTATACTTTCACCACACTTAATCAATCTGTATACTGAGCAAATAGTCTGAGAAGCTGGATCGTATGAAGAAGAACACACATCAGGATTGAAGGAAGACTTATTAACAACCTGTGATATGCAGATGATATAACCTTGCTTGTGAAAATGAAGAGAACTTAGAATACTTACTGATAAAGATCAAAGACCACAGCCTTCAGTATGGGTTGCATCTCAATATATAGAAAACAAAAATCCTCCAACTGGACCAACAAACAACATTATGAAAAAGGGAGACAAGATTGAAGCTGTCAAAGACTTCATTTTACTTAGATCCACTGAAGCAGCAGTCAAGAAATAAAATGACGTACTGCATAGACAAATCTGCTGCGCAAGACCTCTTTAAAATGTTCAAGAGCAAAGATGTCAGTTTGGACTAAGGTCGCCTAACCCGAGCTATGGTATTTTCAATAACCTCATATGCATGTTAAAGTTGGACAATGGATAAGGAAAACCATAGAATTGATGCACTTGAGTTACGGTATTGGAGAAGAATGTTAACAAACAAATATGTGTTGAAAGAAGTACAGCCAGAATGCTCCTTAGAATCCAGGATGGTGAAACTTCATCTCTCATATTTTGGACACATAGGTAGGAGTGACAAGTCCCTATAGAAGGACATCATCTTTGGTAAAGTGGAGGGTCAGCGAAAAAGAGAAAGACCCCAGTGAGAACGGTTGACACACGGGCAGCAACAGTAGGAAGATGGCACAGGACCGTGCAATGTTTCGTTCTGTTGTGCATAGGATTGTTATGAGTAAGAAATGACTCAATGGCACCTAACAACAACACACACACATTAATACAATAAAGGACCCAAATGATCATCTAAATAAAGAGCATTTGACAAAAACCAACACTCTTTCATGACAAAAACACTCAACAAGCTAGGAATAGAGGAGAATATCATTAACTTAGTAAAGGACATTTATGGAAAAAAAAAAACCAAAAACTCCACAGTTAACATAATGGTTAATGATAAAAGGCTGAATATTTTCCACTAAAGATTAGGAATAAGACAAGGATATTCAGTCTTGCCACTTATACTTACCATCATACTAGAAGTTCTAGCCAGTGCAATTAAGAGAAATAACAGACATCTTGAAGAAAGCATTGTTGTTCAGAACAAAATTTCAAGTTTGGAATTTATAAAAGTTATTGTGCTTTTGTGGCTCATGAGAAAAGATAATAATACTTCAATGGCATATAAAATGGAAGATTCAAAATTATACATCATCAGAACGCTGCCAGTTCCATAAAGAAACTGGAAAACAATGCTCATCACTGAAACATGATATATGAGAACATGTGCAGAATGTGATATATGAGAATATGCATGCCAAAAATATCAAAGAGTACACAAATATTTTCATTCCTTCATAATGTCCTGATACCTTGTTGTTGTTGTTTTTAGGTGCCATCAATCAGTACCAACTCATAGCGACCCTATGCACAGCAGTACGAAACACTGCCTGATCCTGGACCAACCTCACTACTGTTGCCACGCTTGAGTCCGTCGATGCTGCCACTTGGCCAATCCATCGCGTTGGGGGTCTTTATCCTTCTCCAGTGACTGGTCCATCCTGACAATATGTCTGAAGTATGAGAGATGAAGTTTGGCCTTCTTGGCCTCCAAGGAGCACTCTGGCTGCACATCTTCCAACATGGATCTGTTGGTTCTCTTGGCAGCCCATGGCACTTTCAATATTCTCCTCCAACACCATAACCCAAAAGCATCAATTCTTCTTCGGTCTTCTTTATTCACTGTCCAGCTTTCACATGCATATGAGGTTATTGAAAATACCATGGCTTGGGTCAAGCACACCTTAGTCCTCAAGCTGATATCTTTGCTCTTCAACACTTTAAAAAGTTCTTGTGCAACAGATTTGCCTAATGCAATACGTTGTCTGATTTCTTGACTGCTGCTTCCATGAGTGTTGATTGTTGATCCAAGAAGAATGAAGTCCTTTACAACTTCAATCTTTTCTCATTGACAAGAATGTTGTTTATTGGTGAGTAGTGAGGATTTTTGTTTTCTTTATATTGAGATGTAATCCATACTTAAGGCTGTGCTCTTTGATCTTCATCAGTAAATGTTTTAAGTCCTCTTCACTTTCAGCAAGCAAGGTTGTATCATCTGCATATCGCAGGTTGTTAATGAGTCTTCCTCCAATCCTGATGCCATGTTTTTCTTCACAGAACCCAGCTTCTCAGATTATTTGCTCAGCATACAGGTTGAATAAGTATGGTGAAAGAATGCAACCTTGTCACACACCTTTCTTAATTTTAAACCATTCAGTGTTCCCATGCTCTGTTTGAACAACTGCCTCTTGGTCCAGGTACCTATTTTAAGAATGTGAAGAAATCACATAGCGACAGCCACCTGAATCATAGGAACAGTGCTAGGAGGAAATAAAAAGCCTTTCCCAGTGAGACTCATTTAAAACAAAACCAAAATATATTGGAGAGCGGATTCTGACTCATATAGGACAGAGTAAACCTGTCCCATAGCATTTCCAAAGCAGAGCACCACATCGTTCTTGCATGGAGCAGCTGGTGGATTTGAACTGCCAACATTTAAGAGCAGCCAAGAGCTTAATCACTGCATCACCAGGGATCCTCCTAAGGAAATCCACATCTACAAAGTGATCTCTGGAGTTTAGAATCTGAAAAGTCAAGTCCCTCTAAAATATAATAAACCACCAAAATGAATAAAAGTTTAAAGAAAGATAGACAAGAATGAATTATGAGGATAACTTATAAGCCTGCCTGTCAAAGAAAGATGAAATCTTTTCATGCATTTTTCATTACTAACTCCAACTCCTAATTCAGCAAGAAACTGTGACAGGGACACCTGCTCAGCAGGTTACACTTTTGTTTCCAAAGTGTCATTACATCTTCTTCTCTAACTATGTGTCTAATTAAGTAATTCAAGATTACAATTTAAATCAAAATTTCAACTCAATAATTGCAATGACATATTTTTCTTATTGGTGGATTCACCAATAAGAGCAAGATACTGTTATACTCTTAGTCTCTCTTTTTTCCTATCTCTTTGCACTAAGCCAGTAAATAAGTGTTTTCCCAACAATAAACTAATAATCACATTTTTAAAAAAAAATCAATTTTGCATTTGCAACAAACTGGAAGCCACCCAAGAATATAGAATTTCCATCTGCTCTGATCCTTTATCATTCTCCAGTGCGTAAACAAACAACATGGAGAGTAAAATGAAACCCTCAAATCTATTCCAGAACACTGAAATACAACACATACCCATATGTCCTATCAAAGTGATATGAGTTTATATTGCAAACAGGAAACCATGTGGTTGGTTTCAGTGGCTGGAAAAGACTCAGATAATGAAAAAGCATTGCATTTATAGTTCCCAGGGACTCGCTATATTCATTAGCTTCTGTACTGAACTAAGTGAAGAAACAGAGTGCAAAAGGTAAAAGGGGCTAGTCAAGCATACAGAAGAAACCAGGTAGATGCATGCTGGCCACTCTCTAATATCCTGTTAACAAGGAAAACCTACAAGACAAAACTCAATCTGAAGCTTCCGTTTTCTGGTACAAATCTTTTAGGATTTCTTTTTTTTTGTTATGTGCAAAATTTTTGGATGATGAGGTAGAGATTTGTGTGCACTAAATTTATTCTTAACTTCGCTGTTATTCTTAACTTTGACTCAGTTCCAGCTCATAGCAACCCTATATAGGGTTTCCAAGGAGCAACTGGTAAGTTTGAACCACCGACCTTGTGGTTCAAACTGACTTAGCAGTCGAGAGCTTATCCTACAGTGCCCAAGTATATGAGGAACTAAAACTATGGAATGGAGAAATATTGGAATTTTTCCCATGAACTCTTTGAAGCCTTGTGGCATAACATCAGAACATAATGACCCAATATTGCTCAAGATCATTATTGCTGAAGTGGAAATATCTAATTGGAATAAACAGAACAGATGACACTTCAAGCTTAATGACAAAGAAAAAGGATGGAGAAAACTTCACGGCTTTATTGTGATGTTGGTCTAATTGTAAAGCATGACAGCATCAGAAACAGACCAGACAAACTCCGAGAGGAATAGGGCACTGTGGAATGGATAGTAGACAATTTAATTTAAGCAAAGTTCAAGACAGTGGCACAAAAACAGCCATGAAGCTAAAGGAGAATTCTCAGGATTTCTCTGGAGCTATCATTCTGTACAAAAACACAGGAGGAAGAAAAAATCCCAATTTATCTTTTTAACTTTTAATCATATGTGAAGCTCCTAATAAATGCTCTAAGAAAGAAATCTCTAACATGTAGAATGATTAGTCAATCTTGGGAAAAAGACAATATTTACACTTACAACTACAATTTCTATGAGACAGATTGAGAATCTCATTATACCAATATTAAGTGTTTACCATGTTTTGCGATTAAATGGATAGCTCGATGGTGTCCCATCTCCCGGAGAACCTGTAAAAGGTCACCGATGGTCTTGTTTTTCTGTGCCCAGGACCAAAGTAATTCTCTCGTTCCACTTTTTCCTTGTTCTACATACTTTTCAATGTGACGAACATCCAGCCAGTTGTTTGAAAGCCGCTCCGCTGTGGAAGTTGCAACAGGAAGAACCAGAGAATAGTTTACTGTTAATTGAAATGCTTGTTGCTGTGTACCTTATACATTTTATTTTATTTAAAACTTTTCATTTTGAATTCATTTTAGCATGTACTCTTCACCTAACCAGCCCTAATGCTAACATATTACATAACCATTGTACAATGATCAGAATCAGAACATTAGTATTGGTAAAATACTAGTAACTAAACTGCAGACCTTGTTTGAATGTCATTAGTTTTTCTACTAAAACCGCTTTTCTGTTCTAAGAACCTAACCTGTTTCCCACATTGCGATTTCTTGTCACTTCTCCTTGTTATTTTCTCTCATTTTGTTGATATCAATTCATAGCTGCCCTGTATGACAAAGTAGAAGTATTCCATAGGGTTTTCAAAGAAACCCTAAAATCTTTATGAAAGCAGACTGCCTCATCTTTGTCTTGCAGATCAGCTAGTGAATTCAAACTACCATTTTATTAGCAATTCAGTGCTTACGTCTTGGGTCACCAGGGATCTTATATTTTCTCCTTGTTATTTGTGCCGTGAGTCAGTTCTTACTCATAGAGACCCTGTATAGGGATTCTGAGGACGGCTGGTGGGTTTGAATTGCCAACACTGTGGTTGACAGTCCAGTGCTTACTCTAAGGCACCACACCAGGACTCTTCCAATCTGTGAGAGCTCCTCAATTGTTCTTTGTCTTTCAGAAGAGTTAAATGATATATTCTCAGTGCATAGTATGAAGGGGTTTCTGATGAGTTTCTCTCACTACACTTGAGTAAGGTATAAAGAGGTTTACTGGTACTTTTCGCCTATGCAAAGGCATTCAACTGTATGGATAATAATAAATTATGAGTAACATTGAGAAGAGTGGGAAGTCCAGAACACTTAATTATGCTCATGAGGAACAAGGGGATACTGAAGAGTTTAAAATCAGGAAGGTGTGTGACAGGGTTATATCCTTTCATCATATTTATTTAATCTGTATACTGAGCAAATCCAAAGAGCTGGATTATATGAAGAAAAGCCTAGCATAAAGGTTGTGTCAACTTGATCAACAACCTGAACCTTGCTTGCTGGAAGTGAAGAAGACTTGAACTTACTGATGGAGCTCTATTTCACTTCAATATAAAGAAAACAAAAATCCTGACAACTGGACCAATATGTAGCATTATGATAAACAGAGAAATATTGAAATTGTCAAAGATTTTATTTCACTTGGATCCACAATCACCATTCATGGAAGCAGCAGTCAAGAAATCAAATGACTTATTGCATTAGACTAATATGTTGCAAAAAACCTCTTTAATGTGTTAAAAAGCAAAGATGTCATTTTGAGGACTAAGGAGCACCTGAACCAAAACATGAACTGGACAATGAATAAGGAAGACGAGAGAGAATTGATCTATTTGATTTATGGTGTTGGTGAAGACTATTACAAGCACCATGTATTGCCAGAGAAACAAAAACAAAAAGCCTCTCTTGAAAGAAGTGCAGCCAGAATGTTCCTGGGACATATTATCAGGAGGGACCAACTCCTGGAGAAGGATATCGTGTTTGGTGGCGGCCACAGTGGGTTCAAACATGATTGTGAGACCAGGCAGTGTTTTGTTCTGCTGTGCATAGGGTCACTGTGAGTAGGAATCAACTCAAATCCACCTGACAACAACAGCAAGATACTGGCTGCTAAATTTCTCCACTAGAAAGTCATCTTTCTTTTTTAGCTAATAATTCCATTGGTGGTGATACTTTGAAAGTCTGGAAATATTCTGTTTCTCTTCAAACTTTGCCCACTGATTTTAGCATCCATAAGTGGACCTTGTTTACCAAGGGGTTTAAAATCAGGAGAGGTATGTGTCAAGGAAATAGAAAACAGGAAACAGAAAATCACCATTATGCCAATATCACAGTGATGATGTTTCTTTCTATGTTTATTAGATATTAGACCCCTGGTGGGGCAGTGGTTAAAATGCATGATGCTAACTGAAAGGTCAGTGTTTCAAAGCTACTAACTGTTCCAGGGAGAATGATGTGGCGTTCTGCTTCTATAAAGATTGTTGTATTGTAAAGTTGGTGCCAACTCATAATGACCCTGTGTATGGTTTTTGAGGCTGTAAATCTTTGAGCAGAAAGCTTCATCTTTCTCCTACAGAGTGGCTGCTGGGCTTCCTTTGCCAACCTTTGGCTCACAGTCTAATGGTTATCATTCAAAGTCACTGGGCTCCCAATCTGTAAAGATTACAATCTTGGAATCCATTTAGATACACTGAAACTTGTTCTTGAATGTAGAAATGGCT